TAGGACTTTACCATGAATATTAGTTTACAGAACAAGCCATACTTAGAGTATTGGGGAGTTTTTTCTCCTTATTTCTTATATTCTGCTATACCAGAAAATTTTTCCTAAGAAATACTTTAATAAATATATAGTTTTAAGTAAAAATTATTTTAAAAGCAGTAACAACAAATTATTCACCAAAAGAGAAGCTTTTTATGTCCCTCTCTGGAACGCGGCGTAAATTTAAGTTTTACGTAAGGACTTATTGAAACCTCCTTGGAGACAGTAAACTTTTATACGGATAGTTCATTCAGCTTGAATACTTCAATTAATCATTTATTATAACATTTCTATCATAAATGAGTGAAAGTTACCCCAAAATTTTTATTTATTGGCCTAAAAAGTAGAAATTTTGAGGAAATTAGAGGTATTAATGGACCAAAAGAGACCTTATAAGGAAGACAAAGAGGTCCATTAGTAGTATTTATCATCATAAAGTCATCTTTTGTATCATATTCAACTGTTTGTAGGCAGATGAGATAAATATTTGATCATTTATTGGTCCACACTATATTCTATCATGATGCGGCTTGGTTTGGATTTTTCGAAGAAATTTTGCTCGAATCGCTGTAGATGTCGTCTTACATTATACTAGATTTTTCTCAAACTATTGAACTGATTATCACAAAACTTGACAGGAATGCTTGAAATAACCAGTATTACAAAGGAAAAAAGTCACATTCAGTTTATTTAACAAAAAAGTCTTCTTTAGGTGTAATACCACCAAATCATAGTACGTCACATCCGGTTGCATGCGAAAATAGGTCGAAAAAAAATATTCCCTTGAATTTGACAGTTGTAGGTAATTGATCCTACATTTCATTGCAGTAAAACATTTCTGGGTCATAAACATATATCTTGGGTATTTCAAAGCACCATTATTTTTTTATTTGGGGTTTCTATAGAATATTTTGGAAACTTGAGGTTACATGGTTACTAAAGCTTGTACACAGGTTAAGAAAGGGGGGAAATTTGATTGGTTAACTTCCAGTGATGGTTATTTTCTTATATGCAATGAAATGTTATGTGAATTTTTTTCTATAGTACTGGACAGGATAAAACTTTACTCATGCCAAGTATTTCTTTATTTGAAACAAAGATAAATTCTGCACAATTTTTTGAAAAGTGCAAATTTAACAAAGACTAATAGGGGAAAATCAATGGTGGTATTACACCTAATATGGGAAGCTGTACATGCACCTTTGACCTTGTGAGTACTCTCATGTGTTAAAATTTCTTGCTATTTAAGTGAAATATTACAAATAATGAAATATTTTGAGTGGATTGAGTCTCCAAAACACATTTTATGAGAAAATTTCCTTGAAATAGGACTTTACCATGAATATTAGTTTACAGAACAAGCCATACTTAGAGTATTGGGGAGTTTTTTCTCCTTATTTCTTATATTCTGCTATACCAGAAAATTTTTCCTAAGAAATACTTTAATAAATATATAGTTTTAAGTAAAAATTATTTTAAAAGCAGTAACAACAAATTATTCACCAAAAGAGAAGCTTTTTATGTCCCTCTCTGGAACGCGGCGTAAATTTAAGTTTTACGTAAGGACTTATTGAAACCTCCTTGGAGACAGTAAACTTTTATACGGATAGTTCATTCAGCTTGAATACTTCAATTAATCATTTATTATAACATTTCTATCATAAATGAGTGAAAGTTACCCCAAAATTTTTATTTATTGGCCTAAAAAGTAGAAATTTTGAGGAAATTAGAGGTATTAATGGACCAAAAGAGACCTTATAAGGAAGACAAAGAGGTCCATTAGTAGTATTTATCATCATAAAGTCATCTTTTGTATCATATTCAACTGTTTGTAGGCAGATGAGATAAATATTTGATCATTTATTGGTCCACACTATATTCTATCATGATGCGGCTTGGTTTGGATTTTTCGAAGAAATTTTGCTCGAATCGCTGTAGATGTCGTCTTACATTATACTAGATTTTTCTCAAACTATTGAACTGATTATCACAAAACTTGACAGGAATGCTTGAAATAACCAGTATTACAAAGGAAAAAAGTCACATTCAGTTTATTTAACAAAAAAGTCTTCTTTAGGTGTAATACCACCAAATCATAGTACGTCACATCCGGTTGCATGCGAAAATAGGTCGAAAAAAAATATTCCCTTGAATTTGACAGTTGTAGGTAATTGATCCTACATTTCATTGCAGTAAAACATTTCTGGGTCATAAACATATATCTTGGGTATTTCAAAGCACCATTATTTTTTTATTTGGGGTTTCTATAGAATATTTTGGAAACTTGAGGTTACATGGTTACTAAAGCTTGTACACAGGTTAAGAAAGGGGGGAAATTTGATTGGTTAACTTCCAGTGATGGTTATTTTCTTATATGCAATGAAATGTTATGTGAATTTTTTTCTATAGTACTGGACAGGATAAAACTTTACTCATGCCAAGTATTTCTTTATTTGAAACAAAGATAAATTCTGCACAATTTTTTGAAAAGTGCAAATTTAACAAAGACTAATAGGGGAAAATCAATGGTGGTATTACACCTTATACCTTATATTTAGCATTGGCATTATTTGGGTGTCAAATCGTAAGAAAAAAAATCCAGAATCAGCTTGAATTTTGGTAATGACCTTTTTATGGGCTATTGAAGTCTTCTATAAAATGAAAAGTGTGTGATATGGGGCAAAATATTTTACCCTGTATCTTAGGAAAAAATCCAAGGAGTCCGAACATCTGACAAAAATTTTCCTAAACCTCACCAGAGGACATCCTTAAGGTACGTCTAAATTGGGAGATAGGTCTCATTCAGTAAAGTGATGATCTGGGAAAATGGGACGGGATAATGGCTACGACAGTTTGAACATATCCGCGGTCGTCTTTGACAGATATACTTCATTATAATCAACAACTCATGAAGGTGTCCGTAAAACTTTCGAACCGATGACTTCACATTTACCAATAGAAACCATTAGGTCAAAAGCTATATGTACGTTGAAAGCAGCAACTCTCTATCAAGGATATCATGACAAGAACCGCAAGCTCTCGAATATCGTATCAATTGAGAAAAATAGTACATTTCATAAGCAGGCGCGTCTGGAATGTTGGTAGATAGAAATGGAGGGCTTACAATTGGAAAGCTTGAATCATCTCTTTTGTCGAAAGTCTTTTTCTCAATCGACATGTTCTTTACCAAAATCTGGGGTTGGACGCAGGTGCACCAGAATGCAAGCAGCTATGGTTTCCTAGTGACAATCGTCAAACGATAGTATTGACCAGAAAAACAGCACAAGGCGGAGTAATAGTTGCTGCATCAGTTCTTTTTGTCTCCAATTCTAGCCCGTTTGGTTTTTACGTTAAGGCTAGTTTAGCATTCAAGAAGTATTGTTACCAACAGAGACTTCCTTGTCAGACTGTAAGAAGTGCTTCACAATAGCTATAAACGAACTTTCTAAGAAATTCAATACAACGAGTACGTTGGAGCACAATTGAAGTGATAATAATCTCTATTTACATTTTATTCACACAACATTCACTTGAAAAATGTAAATGTGTTATGTGTCTTTCTATGTTGTGATGTTACACTATTGTTTCAGAAAAAGGGTGAAGGTTTGGTACCATTAAAACGTTTAAACCCGCTGCATTTGTTTGCACCTGTCCTAAGTCAGGAATCTGATGTTCAGTAGTTGTCGTTTGTTGATGTGGTTCATAAGTGTTTCTCGTTTCTCTTTTTTTTATATAGATTAGACCGTTGGTTTTCCCGTTTGAATGGTTTTACACTAGTAATTTTTTGGGGCCCTTTATAGCTTACTGTTCGGTGTGGCCAAGGCTCCGTGTTGAAGACCGAACTGTGACCTATAATGGTTTACTTTTATAAATTTTGACTTGGATGGAGAGTTGTCTCATTGGCACTCATACCACATCTTCTTATATCTATGTGGAACATCACGTGTTGGTGATAAATAGGCGTAATACCCACTAATTAAGTTTCCTTTTCATTACTTAATATTGCAAATAACTTGCTATGTCGAAAGGAATAAACAAAGGGTTTTGGCATACATTTGTACACGACGTTTTAGAGCAACTAATATTATGCTTAGTTTTAAATGTGTTTTTATTTGGTCATGTTTTCTTATTTATTTTTTGCCTTTGCACATGCACATTAAAATAATGGTGTGATGATTTTGAGCTTTGTATGGTTCATTGTTTCTGTCTTTTTATCATTTTTATTATTTCATAGTACAAAAAATGGTCCAGTGATTGGTCAGGTGTTTAATAAATCCGTCGAAGTGTTAGCTTCTGAATTGGTCGTAACTCATAAGAAAACACACGACTTCTATTTGGTAATTTTTAATGCGGACCTTTTTAATAAACATACACAAAGTAAAACAGGTATTAAACTTATAATAGTATTCATCATGTATCCCATTTCAGTGCAATGCAAACCTCTGCAAAATAATTTAGAATCACTGACATTGTCATCATAAAATAATCCGAATAGATATTGGAAGAGAAGGGTGGTAACTGCGTGGGCTCCTTTAATCATACCGTAATTTCTGTTATAGTTGTCAATGTGGAACATTTCACTCACGACAGAACTAACTAAAGCATACAAAGAACCTAACGACGTTCCCGTTAAAACTACAGATAATACTATAAAAGCCTTGCTTTGAACAAGTATCATATTACTGAAAGAACATAGTGTTTGTAGAACACATGAAAATAAAAGAAAGGGGAGTCTGGTCATTGATTGACGTAATTTATCAGACAACAATCCAACTATGATACCACTGCTTGACGAAAATACAGGAACATAAATAAAAATGTAAGAATCAAATCTACTCAACCCCGAAACTTGACTCAACACGGTCAAGTTGGTTTTTAACACAGAACCTGTGGCAAATGCTAGCGTTGACAACCAGGCTAACAACTGATAGTTTGGGTCTTTGATAATTTGCAGGAATGTCTTTGGAATGCATATATAATCTCGTTAAACTGTGTTCATGATTATCATCTTCAGGCAATATATTCGTATATTCTGTTTCAGAATGTACTTCACGAAGAAACAAAAAACAGAATATATATACAAACACACTAAAGAAGAATAGAAATATCATCAGCTGTTGGAATCGGTGTTTCTTTGACGGAATGCTGTAATAGATACCGGAAAACAAGAGCATTCCAATACTAATACTTTCCCCCATAACTGCCATAATTATTCCTCTGTTTGATGAAGAAAAATTCTTTGCAACTATCTTCTGTGATATAATAATCTGAATAGAATCACTTAATCCTAAAAAAAAAAAAAGAAATGCAGATCTGATTTTTTAAAAATCAACAATTTTGCGCCCGAAAACATGTTTAACCGCGCCACATTATGTTAAGTGCCTTTCTCATGTCAGGTGCCTGTTAATGAGTGGTTGTCGTTTGTAACAGTGTATTATATTTGTTTTTAGTTTAGACTTAGTGCTTTGTACAGTTCGTCCTTGTGTTTTGTTGTGCTGTTATACCGCTGTACAGGCCCAGTTTTGGGGAGGGTTGGGCGCCGGCTAGCATGTTTGACCCTGCCACATTATGTATATGCCTGTCCCAAGTAAAGGCTATATTTCAGTGGATGTCGTTTGTTACTGCATATCATATTTGTTTGGTTTTTTTTAAACGCAGAGGGCGGCTGGTTTTAAGATATACTCTTTCTATAACTGAACGGATATCTCAATTATGTATTCAGCTTATCTGGCATGTCTAAATTTGATCTTATTCAACTAAAAAATGCATATTGTGCAAAACGGAAAGGTGAAATAAAATCTATATGAAATTATTTCAACAAAATATTAATCTAAATAAAAGTAATATTGGTAAGGTTTGTTCCATGTTAAAAAAAACTTGTAAGCAAGTAAATCGATGGTTGAAACTAACCAAAAACTAGTGTTACATGTACAAAAAAAAATGTAACAAGAATCGTATATAGAGAGTCGGAATTCAAGTGACTGTGGATCGAGTATAAAAATACCAATAGGAAAAAAGTGTCAATACTAAAACGGTGCATTTCTATTACTTTGGAAGAAACATTGCAAAAAAGCATCAGAATATATTTTACCGCAATCGCAGTCAAAATGTACAGGTTATATCCAATCTGTCTGTATCTTTAATTTTCATTCACAGGAGAAAATTACGTAAAAGTCATTTATGAATATTTGTCTACATTCAACCGATATTAACCTTGTTTTATCAGTTTTATTTATCTGATTTCTTTTTTTTTTCTTTCTAAAATGATAATCAAAAAAGGTATAAAATCGATAAGTCATGATATAGTTGAAAACCAATATCGTCCTTAATTGATAATCCGAGCATACACTCACCGTTACATAGAAATCCAAAAATAATGAAGTAACTGTTTGTCATATGCTGATCTAATGTCGCCACCCATAATACAGTCGGCCCAATCAGAGTAAACACGAAACCAAACACCAAGAAACACATGGGATTTAATGAATCTGTAAATGTGCATAACATGAATCCAATTCCGTTTCCTATAGTCTGGATGGACGCGAACATTTCAACTAATAAAACAAGAAAAACAAGAAAAATGAGTCGTAATTAAAATTAAACAACCGATTCAAACTAAATTGTATACAAAGCAATTTCTAAAATAAAATTGATTGATCTTCTACATTTTCTAACAATAAGTTCATTGTGTTAATTGCGTAAGATAAATTACATTTCGTGAAAATAACAGAACTAAAAAATCTATGAGATACATATACAAACATAATATTACAGTATATTTCTGTATTACAGTGTCAAGTCTTTGTCAATGTTACAGTGTCAAGTTTCTTTCTGTGTTACAGTATCAAGTTGTTTTCTGTGTGATGGTGTCAAGTTTCTATGTTATAGAGTTAAAATTCTTTCTATGTTTCAGTGTCATTTTTTTTATGTTACAGTGTCAAGTTTCTTTTTGTGATTCAGTTTCAAGTTTCTATGTGTTTCAGGGTCAGGTTTCTATGTTATAGTTTCAAGTTTTTTTCTGTGTTATAGTGTCAAGTTTCTATGTTATAGAGTTAAGTTTCTTTCTTTGTTACAGTGTCAAGTTTCTGTCTGTGTTATAGTGTCAAGTTGCTTTAAAAGTGACAGTGTCAAGTTTTTTTCTGTGTTATAATGTCAAGTTTCTTTCTGTATTATAATGTCAAGTTTTTTTCTGTTTTATAAAGTCATTTTTTTTTTGTGTGTTACAGTTTCAAGTTTCTTTCTGTGTTACAGTGTCAAGTTTCTCTCTGTGTTACAGTGTCAAGTTTCTTTCCGATATTGACAGATATACCTATATGTGCAAATGGTCATTTTAAAATCACAAAGGAAATCTGTCTTTGTTAAGTATGACCGACTATAATCTATAAAAGGGCAGACATACTTTTCTTAATAGTTATCGTTTTGGTTTTCGGTTAAACATAAAACATCCTTACCTTGTTCCTTATTGATGTTAAATATGACTTGAAGCTCATTTGCGTAAATATAGAATATTTCCGATGGTCCCAACAGCGCATTGGCTAGAACACCAGCAACAAACGACAACCATAGTCTCAATTTCTGACTTTTGATCAGTGATGAAAAATGCATGTCTTTTGAGCAATTATGCTAAAAATAATAAGTATAAAAATAAGAAGATGCGGAATGATTGCCAATGAGACAACTCTAGAACAAAAAACCAAATGCCACCGAAATAAGCAACTATAGATCACCGTACGGCTTTCAACAAAGAGTAAACCCATTACGCATAGTCAGCTATAAAATGCCCCGGAATGGCCAATGTAAAACAATTCAAACGAGACAACAATCGGCCTCATTTATGTACAAAATAATGAACGAAAAACAAATATGATATACATCAACAAACGACAACCACTGAATTACAGGCTACTGACTTGACACAGATACATAAAGAATGTTGCGGGGTTAAACTAGTTTGTTGGTGCCAAATCCTCCCCCTAACCTGGGACAGTGGTGTAACAGCATTTTTCTCAGGAATTACATCATAAGGATTTCTGAAATTTGGTTTCAGGGTTTATATAAGTCAGCTATACCGTGTGATGTGTTTTCAGATGCATCACTTCCTGTTTACCGTCAAGTATTTGGGCGGGGGTATCATCAGTGAGCAGAAGCTCGCATTTTCACTTGTTTTGGACGACAAAGTCCCTTTAACATCTTCTTACGGTTTGTATATTACCGACTCGTTCGCTATCTCGTGTCTACTGTTACATTCTAGATTTCTATATTCAATGAACGGGATATCACATCCCAATGTACTCGATAATGTTGTTTATAGAGTCCGAATATTTAGATTTTTTAGACCCATGTTAACGTATAAAATCATTTGAATTTCTTATTCTTAAAGATTATCTATTCAACATTGTAGAGAGATATTGGAATACTAAAACTTCAACCTGAAAATGCTTTAATTTTCAACTGATTTTGAATGATGATTTGTTCTTGTGTCGCTCTGTTACACAACTGTCCTAGGTAAGGGAGATGGTTCGGCGTTCGCCAAAGGTTTGACCCGCCACATTCCACATGTGCCTGTTCCAAGTCGGAAGCATGTATGCTACATGTATTGGTTGCTGGTTGTTATATCAATCTGTTTTTCGTGAATTTATTTTGTGATAGATAAGGCCGTTGATTTTCTAGTTTCGACTGTTTGACATTTTGTTATGTCATAGTCTTTTATGGATTGCTATATATGTGGTTTGGGTGTCCCCTTATTGTTGAAGGTCGTACAGTGACCTAAAATGCTAACATATACGTCAGCTGGTCTCTGTTGGATATTTATCTTATTAACCTTTTTAGAATCTAAAAGACTATGGGTAATCTCATTGTTCGTACAACAAAATGAAAATAACGTTACCTCATTGGTTGAATGTCCATTATTTAGGACGTGTTTAACCAATCACAACGTTTTGGTGTACGCCTTTGGAAATATTATCAAGAATGTATAAGATTCTGAAACGGCAATCCTATCACATCTCCTTATTTTATATTTATTTCTCACTGTCAAGTTTCACGTTTGATGTGACCACGATGATAAACTCCCTTAATCAAAATTAAAGCTGTAACCTTATTCGGGACGGACTATCGGACGGATGGCATTGTGCCCAGTATGATCGTAGACGGGGTTAGAAGAATTAAGCATAAGAATATATAGATTTGAAATTTTAACTAATAAGGATTAGTAGTTTAAGCTTTGATAATTAATGTATAAAGTTTTATATTTATAGTGCCTCATCAGTCATATTTGTATGGCTGATTATTAACTGTTTTATGTGTAAGTATTACACATTTTGTACATGATTTTTGACAATCATCGGAATGTGACACTTTAAATTTAATACATTGCTTTAGTATTGAGATGACATTACGTTATTGGAATTAAGCACACCTTGGATTATTTGTTTTTATTAGTTGCTATTGGCTTTGAACTAGCTGTCAGTAACAGCGAGAACTCTCAGATCTGTACTTCCTGTCTTTTTTTTTTGTGGGGATGTATAAGTACACTGCCACGTCCCCTCTCTGTTAAACGTATTTCCGTGTTGTATCGATCTGATGAGTTAGGCCTTTTTCAACTGTTTTTATAGTTTGTTCTTTTGTTTTACTGTGACACTACTGTCCAATGTTAAGGAGAGAGTTGGCGCGCCTTCAAACTAGTTTAACCACGCCGCTTTTATATGTGCCTGGACGGACGGTCAGACAGAGGTAAAACAGTATACCCCCGATTTTTTAAAAGTGGGGGTATAAAAATGAAAATTAACAATAGAAAAATTCATATTTCTTGTATACAGAATTTTCCGTTTTAAACTGATATATCTGAATGTAAAAAGGGAAATTGTTGCTGTTTATATATTAAGAGTTCTTTGAGCTCAGTTCCCTTCAATAAATTTCGATATTTCCATATTCACTCAATTCAACTAGTTCATATTTAATCTATGCTTAGAGGTATTGTACTATGAGCACAAAAAAAATAATTAAAAATTGCACAGTATAGTTGATTAGTATATTAAGCAAATTAGTGATTTTTTTTTTATGTTAAAACCATTGATCGGTAAAGATAGTAGGCCTGTTTCGTTTTTTCTTCTTCATTTTTTTTATATAGATGACCAAAGTGTTGTTTGCATATATATTTTACTTCTTATTTTGATTAGTTTTTCCTTATCTTTTTTACAAATTTTTCAAACACCGTAAACTGTTTTTTACATACTTTCAATTGATTCAAGAATACCTTTCAATAAATCGTCTGTTGGCATACGTCTTCTTCAGTATATCATTGATGAACTTCTACCAACTGTAAAATGAAGATAAGCTTTATACAAAAAAATGTATTTCTGATGCATTAGTAAACTCTTTGTACAAAATGAAGCAATTCGGCCAAATATTCTAATGCATGCTGGGTAATATTTACAAAATCGTACACCAAAACACCCAAAAATGTAGAATCCCGCCACATTCTATATGTCCATGTCATAAGTGTTGAGCCTGTAATTCTCTTGTTGTCGTTGTTTGCTGTCTGTGATATTTGTTTTTATTTCGTATATTGTGTTGTCATTAATCAGGACGTTGGCAAGTTTTGTTCGCATGCTCTAAAACGTTCTAAATGTTTGACCCTTAGTGATATTAAATCCAAAAATACGAAATTCTACGGTTGAAAACCTATCCATAATATAGGATTAGCTATATCTATAATATCAGATTTAACCCACCATTTTTCTTTGGACAATGCCGTACTAAGCCAGGCATGTGACAGTTAGTGTCCAATCATTCCGTTGGTTGGTATAGTCGAGCGTTTGTCAGTTTCTATGGACTTCTTTTTCCTATTAACATTAACCTTATAGTTCAATATATTGTAATTACATATGTTTTTCAATACTGTCTGATTTATATGCTAAACTATTTTGACAATCATGCATTAATACATTGAATATATATTTATTTTTATTAAGGGTCATACTCAGTGTGTATAAATTTATATAGTATAATTTGCAGTTTAAGAATCTAACATACTCCGTGTATATAATATGACCCATTTTTGTCGTTCTTACCGTTTGGATTTTTCTAATTTAAGCTCAATACCAGTGTGAAAAAAAAATTTACACAAATTGAAATGTATTCATTTTTCTTTTAGTGAGTGCATGTAAAGGTGTACCCAAATTTATTCGCTCCAGACTCTGTTATTTTCACATTTAATCTCAATTCGTACCAACCCTATGTTCTCTTCGCCGGATCATACAAAATAATAGACATATTGGTATACGCTGCTTTTTCCTTGATCAAACGGTATTTAGGAGTAAGCGAAAAGATTTGTCGGCTCGGAGTTAATTTTGTCGACATCATAACATTGGTGTGTTTGATATGATAAAACTAGGCACAATTTATTTTTTTCTTATTAAACCTGTTTATGTTTAACGGGTACGTGCCACTAGAAACATGTACCAGTGTATCAGACTACATTTGAAGTTTTTTTTATTTTATTTACATTCTAAATTTAGCTGATTTAAATCAACTAAATGGAATTAAATATATGGACCAGTTGAAATACATGAATCACTATTACTTGGTTTTTTTTTTTTTTTATTATTTTTTTTTTATTTTAACATAACGTTCCTCCCTCCTTTTTCTCTCTTATAACTGTAACTGTTAAGACACATTATTTTATCAGTGCAATAAATTATACTCAGGTTCTGCTCATTTCTATCCTCGTCTAAAAATAACCAATTAAGTTTTTTTTTTTTTTTTGGTTGTTTTTTTTTTGGTTTTTTTGTATCTCGTGGCGGATCCAAGATAGAGTGAAGAAGGTGTTGGGATCGCCATACATGTTTATATCTCATGTTTTTCATGATTCATATGATTTTTTAGCAAAAGATGTTCAAAATATTTTTAGCCTCGCTACGCTCGGCAGTATCTATTTCATTTGACAGAATTACGTCAGCTTCAAACATCCTGCAACCGGCCCTGGTTTCAATAAACAATACAACCTGAAACCAATAACTGAATCATTTGCTAAAACACTCTGTCAATTGAATACATCTCTTGGCGTGTATCAAGTAAAAACTCAGTCATGTAAACTTCAAATCCATTTTCCAAAATATTTTGTTTAAATTGATTTGTGGATTTTTTAAATGTATTTTTCTACATATTTTCAACAAGCAATGAGTACAGAATTCCGCGTTTAAAACTACCATTGAAATCGAGTGTCATCTAACAACCGTTACAGGTCAGTTCCTTATTTTATCATTCATTGATGTATGACGCTTGATTGTCAATCAGGGCACGTTTGTTATGTTAATCAGTTACAGATAATATAATTTCGATCAAGATTTCATCCCAAGGGTTGACTTGGGTATACAAATATGGTCATCCTTGGAATTCTCCAATTCCGGCAGTAAAAATCCTTTCTGTGTCCGTTTTGCTGTGTGGGATGTATAAATACGAATGATTGGACACTAACTGTCACATGCCTGGTCAGAATTGAGATGATCATCGAATGCTTTGTGCATAAAAATGCAGCGTTTTTCAAGTGGCAGTCCAAATTTCCAAGCCATCATCCTGGGCAACATCTGCCTTGCAGAACCTTCTTATTGTATCAAAATATTATTGTTTATTTGTTCTAGTCCTGAACATGCCTGAATTAGTTGCCACTGGACGTTTAGCAAACAACAATCAATCAATTGAAAAGTCATGAATGATGGTAAAATTCAAGGTTCTGTGTTGCCATCGGATATTGAACTTTCTATGGTATTTGTATAAGCGAAGGGTCATAATTACAGACTTTATTATCATAATCTTGTGATTTCAACCAATTGTTCCCGACCCCACCCCCCGAAAAAAAATCACTAATTAAACTGATTAAGCGTCCAGTGTAATATATCATAATTGATAAAATACAGCTTGAAAACTATATACTTCAGTATAACATGTCGGTCATGTTCACTGTTACAAAACTTTATTCCCTACATGTAAGGATGTCGTGCACATTAAGAATACTTGGACTACTAATTTTAGCCTTTATTTCCAGAAAATATATTACGTACGATCCGTCAGAGGTATATAATTACAATATGAGACGGGTTTTTAAATGTGTTTATGTTGGAACGAAAAAAAAAAAAAAACTTCTTCATAAAAAGTAACTTATTGTGCAAAGAAAATTAAGATTTACACCGAAAATGCTTTCATTCGAATTTTATATACAAAGTATATTATATTCTTGGGGAAAATTGTCAATCAATTTTTTGCGAAAGCAGTGGATATTGCCTCTTCAATACATTAGAATTACTGTATGCAGTGCTAGCAATGATTTCCTAGGAACAAGATGATAACAAGTACAAATAAGGGCTTCATTAGGTGCGCTCGACTTGAGTTACTCGACACGAGGTTTTATAGGATTATAAAGTTAAACGTTGTTTAGGACTTTTTTTTTAACAAATAGATAACATTATGTATGTGCCTGTCCCAAGTCAGAAGCCTGTAACTTAGTTGTCGTTTGTTGCTGTTTGTCATGTTTGTGTTTACTTAAGTCGAGCACACCGTAGAAGGTGTACTGGAATATCATGTTTGCGCTTGTTTTTAATTATTATCTATATTTAAAAACGTATATTAGGGAAGTCGTTACTAGAACTACATGCAGTATACCTCTATCGATTAGGTTCCAAATATTCAAATTCAAGGGAAACGCTACGGATTTTCCATAAATTTTCCCTTTTGGTTTATCAACCCTTCTGTAGCACCGTGTATTACGATATTTTCAATCCATAAAACCTCGTGCTGAGACACTAAAGTCGAGCGCATCTTAGAAGTTGTACTTGAATTGGTCCAAAAATGTACTTGTATTAAGATCTATTAACTATTATCTTCATTAAAAAAAAAGTTTAAGGAAAATCATTGGAAACACTGCATGCAGTAATCCCTATCCATTAGGTGCAGAATTGTCAAATATAAGTAGTGTACACATGGATAGGATATGGATTTTTTTTTATAGAATTTCCATATGTTTAGCATTGAAACAATAAAAGGATTCATAATCTTCAAAGAATATATTCAGTTATATTCAAAAGCTCAGCAAACATTATTATTATATTCTATTGTCAACATGCAATAAGAACTTACATTAATTTTAAACTGCACATAAATAACACCTGATCTATTAGTTAGTCAGAATCAATGATTACATGTACGATGAACGTGATTTTGGCTTCAGTCAAGGACCACTCGATTCAACAGTATGTTTGGACAAAATCCTAATCTTATAGGGACGAGAAAGTCGAGTACACCCTTTTACATCCACATGTTTTGGTCGACTACTTTCTCCCTAAAACGTATAAAACAAAATTAAGGGATATATCATTTCGACATGTGAGTAAAGTTTAGTTTTATCTTAATTCAAGACAAGTGCATAAAGGCTTCCGGGGTATTTGCATATCAAATAATTTTAACAAATCAACAAAACATATACACAGGACTAAAGGTTGATAAACAATTAAAAGAGGCTGAGAATTAAGAATGAATTAAACAAAACCTTCACATGTTAATTAGTCTGTCCCAAGTCAGGAACCTCGGCAATGATTGCCATTTGGTGAATTTTATTGGTTTTTTTTTTATTAAGTTTTAAGCGAATTTTTATTTAAAGCAGATCTGCGAAAGCTATTGTTTGATTGATTCGCAACTTGTATTTAGACGAGGCCAACGCAGAGCTTAACACGTTGCAAAGAAGCTTAAATTGTTAAAGACTGCATGATGACGATGTATTTTTGTTCGTTTGTGTTGTTGGTTAACTGTCTGATTGACGTATACCGATCATCTTCTTGTTGTTTACAAAAGAAAATACAAATAAATCTTTCAACAAAAAGTTTTCTTTTTATAGAATTGAACGCCAATTTGTCAGTGGATTGCATTTAAAACATGACCATTGATTGTCAAACAAGCATTCGTTAAGAGGCAAAAAATACACATGGTATTTTTTTCATTTTGTTTAATGTTAAAAACCTTCACTTTTATACGTTATAAAACATCAGAAAAGGTTTTGAACATTCAGACATCGCATCATATAGTTTGAACCTCACTTAAAAACGAATCAAAGGGGCAGATCTAGAATCTCAGCTCGAAATTTACAAATACTGTTTTTCATACCCTTTATTCATATCTAGTAACATTGAAAAGAGCACGCAGTATATTTATATTTACAACCTCGAGTGGTTTAAAAATCATGATTTTCTGGCTCATCGGTAAGCACAATGCAAAGTCAGGCGGAAACCCAGTTGAAATAAAAAAAAAAAGAAATGGAACTCTTTGTTGGAGAAGGTAAAAATAGGCCAAGTGGGTAAATTTAGAGATTCACTTGTTGTCGAGTATCGAGTTGCAAGTTACAAAAGTCGAGTTGCGAGTTACGAAAGTCGAGTTGCGAGTTACAAATGTCGAGTTGCGAGTTACGAAAGTCGAGTTGCGAGTAACGAAAGTCGAGTTGCGAGTTACAAATGTCGAGTTGCGAGTTACGAAAGTCGAGTTGCGAGTTACAAAAGTCGAGTTGCAAGTTACGAAAGTCGAGTTGCGAGTAACGAAAGTCGAGTTGCGAGTTACAAATGTCGAGTTGCGAGTTACGAAAGTCGAGTTGCGAGTTACAAAAGTCGAGTTGCGAGTTACGAAAGTCGAGTTGCGAGTTGCAAAATTAGATTTGCGTGAAAATCGGGAAAACTATTTTAATTTTTTGGTGTACCTCTTTGACATTTTTGAATGATGATTGCTTATAGAATTGTATACAGTATTGTTGATTCTTTTTGTTGTTTGCACTTCTTCTGAGTCTCGTGTAAAAAAAATGAATGGATTGCTTACATAATCACTACGCAAAGTATGGTTATTTTCTGAAGAAACAGATAGCCTTTGAAATACAGCGGATGGCTTGTATTCTAATTATTATTAAATTTCATAGCTAGCACCGTCATATTAAACGTAAAGGGAGATAGCAACTAAACTATAGTACATATATGTAAAAGACCCCTTCTGCAGATTTCGTTAAGAGTGGACTCTTTGTGGCAGCTGCAGAGGCAATATTTGATAGGGACCCCACAATTTATTCTTTGGCAGTGACACTCAAAATTGTGGACGTTTAAGTTATATAAGTCTACATTGGCTAGAGGTGAAGGGGGAAGGTTGAGCGCTCAAAATACCTGTTTAACCACGCCGCATTATTGCGTCTGTCCTAAGTCAGGAACCTCTAGCCTTTGTTGGTCTTGTATATGTTTTAATTTTGGTTCATCTACATGTTTTTGAGCATAGAATGGCGTCCATATTCTTGATATAGTGTACATTGTGTTTCGGGGCCTACTCGGGTCTGCCTCTGGGTGTGGGATTTCTCGCTGTGTTGAAGACCCATTGGTGGCCTTGGGTTGACTTGTATATTTTGGTTGGGTTGTTGTCTCTTTGACACATTCCCCGTTTCCATTCTTTATTCTATACATGTGGCTGTCAAAGATACTTTTGTAAAAGAGACAAAAGAAGCAGTATTGGAATATGTAACTTCTTTCTAAAAAACGGGTTAATCATAACCAAATCAATCAAGTTAATTTAGGAATAACATGCTGACAAATATAACTCTTTTGACTTTTTTAAAACGTTTTTTTAAATGATGCACAATGGCTATTTAATTCATTTTTTTGGGGTGCATGCGTCCTTTAAGGATACATTTTTTTCAAATATTTTCAGAAATAAAACACCAAATGTGTTTTGTTTTCATTAAAATCCGAACACTTTATTAGAAACTTAATGTTAATATATATATTTTATCCTAATTTTCAGTAGAAATAATCTTGAAATTTATTCACTTCCATTTTAGATAATTTTTTTCTCAAGGAATTCAGAATCAAACAATTCTTTAAAAAAAACCTACGCCTTTCCAAAATATGGATGGCAGATGCCTGAAAGTACAACTTGATGCCATACTTAGCTGGGTAAAACTTTTTTCAGGTGCTCTCGTGACAGGCTATACATGATATTAAAATGAAAAGGAAGCACATTTTTTTTTTTAGAAAAATGTACAATACCCAGCTGATATCTGAAACTACAACATTTGTATCAAGGCGGCATCAGTGGGAAATCTAGTGACAACATATTACCTCCCCTGTAAATATTGAAAACTAGATCTTCTATATGTTTGTCCCATTTTAGGAAGGACGCTATCAATTATGGATTCACGGGAAAACGTTCTGGTAAAAATTAAAAAGAGAAATAAGGTGAAATAAAAACAAAACTTCCATTCAATGTTATTATTTCCCTCCTTAAGTAGCAAACGACGAGTACAGCAGGCTATATAAGCTTGAAGTAAAATTGGTTTAAAATATTGCTATGCGAATAAATTCCTGGAGTACCAACTTCAATTTATTTTTCTACTGGCTGTATACCTTTCTGGAACATGCTAATTATCTGAATATATATACAGCTAGATCCGAGAAAGTCGGGGAAAAAATTCCAAAGGAATCGATTGATATGCAGCAAAGATTGGCACTTTTGAAATTAAGTTACTAAGCAAATTCAAACGGACCTTATCTCGATGTAAACATTGAATGTGAATAGATCAAGAAGACCGATGTGAATAGATCAAGAAGACCGCAAATACATGTACAAAATTCGAGACGACCTTTTCTTAAAATTGTATAAAAATAGAAGAAAGATACCTACTTTATAATAGTTATCTTTAATTTCTTAACCTGCACAGAAAGACTTTTAAATTTTTATATTCACAAAAAAGACAACATTTCTCTACTGAATGTACATGTGACAAGAGTAGACCGGTGTGCTCGATAACTTAGGTGTGAAAAAATAAGTATACTTTGGGAACTTGTAACATGCTAAGGACTTTTTGAAACACTCAGAAAATTGGGACCCGAAAGATCTTTAGATTTTGTATGTTAATGAATTTTTTCCAATTTTTTTTATCAATATGCAGCAAAGATTGGCAGTTTTTAAATCTCAGTTTCACAAGCTTCTAATGCAATTATCTCGATAAATACTGAACATAAAACATCGTGTATTTGCATGTATGTTTCTTATAACACAGTTTAAAATTAATTTATTCAAAATGAACAATTATCATTTAGAAATAGCTTTTGATCAGTATCGTCACCGGCATTGTTTTATTATTGACTATAAGAAGAGTGAATTTTCTTTTGTTCTCGTTCACTGGATATCCCACTGTGCACTTGTGACAGACAAGGCTTCCAAATATCAAGTGACTGACTGGCGGATGAACGGACAGAGGTAAAACTTTGTCCCTGTTTCCGCGAAGAGCATCTGAGGTAAGATGGCAAGGTATCCTACAAAATTGGAAAAATCAACAACGATCTAGTAACATCCCTAACTTACGCCCTAAGGGATTCATAATGAGTTTTTAATTTTTTGATTTTCGGAGGTCGTGCCAGACTTTATATATACTGTTTTCGCCGCAAACCACTAAAATCAAAATTAGATGCTTTTACGAAGTTATGTTTTTTTTCTTGGGATCCCATGTAACACGGTAGTACGGGTCGGGGGCCTTGATCGTTTATGCATACTTCGCGAAATTTTAGGTTGCAAGTGAGAAATATATATTATAGACACAGAGATATTAAATAATGATACAAATTAATAAACTAACCTTTCGCTTGAAACAGTATTTCTATCTTTCATTAAGAATGAATCTAACCTGGATTGTTTTCTTGGCTATGCCATGATGAAATAAGCAATCCAACCGCGGGTAGGGCACATTCACCTACTTCGTGGGAATGTGAGTTAGGGATGTTTTGAAACTTCGATTATCAAAGAAATTGTTTACAAAAACCGTAAATACAATGTAGCAATTGTTTTACTTTAACTGCTAAAAGCCTCTAATACTTGTCATCAAACGCATCACCGCGTTTGACACATTTCTTTGAAGTAAATAATATTTATAGAACTTAAATAAACCGTAGTTCAGTTTATGAGTAATCAATTCACGTTGGTTCTGTTAAACGTACTCTTTATAATACAATTTGAATGTTAAAACGGATGGAATGCGACGGCTTTAATTTTCGTCGTCTCTTTAGATACTTTATAAAGCTAAGGACAACCCATGCTTTGCAAATTTTAGGGGGGGGGGAGGGGGCGCACGCCCGCTACGCCCCCGCCTGTATTCGCCCCTGTTTGAAGGTATATTTCATTTGTCTACATGATTTATCTTCTTATGCTTGATTTGTTCAGTACGGTATACATTTTGTCTTATATCTAC